TCTGTTTTTTGTCATTCTTCTCTCCTCTCTTGTTTCCTATTCTCTCGTAACGAATACCTCTTTGTTTTTTTCTCTCTGTGTAAATTTGTTCGTATATTCGTATGTGTCTGTACGTATATATCTATACATTCGTATATACATATATGTAATATGTTTAACACCTTTGTTCATTGTATACGAATTCGTATATCGCCTGTGTACGTGTGTGTGTGTCTCGTTAATCGTTCAATTCGTGTGCGAGCGTACCTTAACGAGCTTCCAGCTTTCGACACGTCAAGAGCCCATGCTGATCCACTTCCGATGGAGGAGGCACGCGAGCTCTTGACGCGCTACGCGTTCGAACGAGAAAAACACGCTGAAAGAACCAACGAACATACGAAAAGAAAGAAATTTAAAGCACTGTGTCTCGCGGCGCATGTTACACTCACACGCTTGCTCTCTCACCTCCTAACCCACAGCCGATATGTAACGGCACGGATCGTTGGTCGCCGGCATTAATCCACGCTGGACGTTATGTGTACGCCTATGGCAGAATGAAACACACCATACAGGCTTGCATGGTTCTACAGAATGCTAGGTGAGTTCGCGATGCACCGTGAAAAATATATTGTCAGAGGACAAATGGCGGCCAATTGTCACTTTAATATTATCGTTGTGCGATTTTTCATTGGATGATCCGATGAAATTCGTTGCTTTTGTATCTCCTAGATATTTTTTATTTTTACGATAAATGGTAAGCTCAAGTGCATGGAGGTATATCGATAGGTGTACGGCTGGCTTATTATCTGATCAGTTATGCAGGGTGTTTCACCTAACTTGCTTACCGGAAATATCTCTGCTGGGATGAAAATTTCATAGAAATATTTCCTACAAAAATTACATAGTTTCTGGGGGCCAGTGTATAGTGACAATGGTTTTACTCTACCGGGAAGGGTTAATCAGTTAAGATCAGCTTTGTTCTTTTTTTAACGCAACGCTATATCTTATTTGTCCGTATATAATAGTTACTTCAAAAAACGAATTCAACAGCCTGCAACGCTAAGTTCTTCAGAATCACCAAAAGTCGTATAAATAAAATCTGGTCTAATTTACGGTGCCGCTGCGAAGTAATATCCTGTTTCAACTTCGATTCTTGAGAACGCTTCAGTTCTTTATCAACATGTTGTAAGTGTCCTTTGTGTCCTAAGTGTTTGCACTATCGTGTGCAGACAAATCAAATACATATATCGTTTCATTTAATAAAACAAAATTGACTTTATCTCATGAACCTTCCCCAACAGAATATACCCATATTACTATACGCTGGCCCCCCCACAAAACTATGCAATTTTTGAAGAAAACAGTTTTATGAAAGTTTAATTATAGTAGAAAAGTTTCAGATGATCAAGTTAGGTGGAACACTCTGTATACCCGTTCTAGTGAGAATTCATATATATGTATATGTTACAGTGCAAACCCGAATTCCGCCAAAACCCAATTTTCTTAGTCAATATGTACTGTTTTTTACTAGTTCATTCTAGAATTGACTGTATGCTCTTTGTTTAGTCTAGTTACTACTGGAAAAAAGTGTCCAAGTTGATGTATTTGCAACTTTGATTAGTCAAAACTGATTCTGCAATGTCAGATACATTTTCGTTCGTTTATTTGTCTTCCATATCAGTTTATTCCTTATAGTTGAGAGATACGAATTGGAACATAAACTTGTTTATTGTTCTAAAATTATAGTTATTATTATTTCTCCGTAGTTACAACTAGTCAGAACGAGGATTAACTGAAAGATTTTTAGGTAATTCCGATATTATCAAATACATATGGTCATTTCTAGAATTAAATAGTTACTTGTAGTATTAATGAAAAGCCTTTGATAAAACCAGTTTTGACAAGATAAATTGGCTATTGATGAATTTTGGGATCTGAGACGTAAGATATACATTTGCAAGATATTTCTGAAGTAGAAAATTTAAGAACGTGTTCTGAAATATTTTATACGAAGAAGTGGATGATTCGCTATTTCATTCGTTATATACATGCTCTATTATGAGCTTTGGTATATAGGATGCTTATGTCAAATTTTAAGAAAGTGTTTTTATTCCATATCGGTATAAAGGAAATTTTATATAAACAAAGTTTTACATATGGTTTCCTTCGTATATTTGTTAAAGTAAATATTACACGAATTTGCTGAGCATGTAAGCATTACCTATACATTTGCTGAAATTGTAATTAGATATTGAATACCAGTAAAAATGGCGGTATTGGCTTGTAATTAGTCTCTCTGTCATAGTAGATATCTATTCTAATGCTGAAATGACGGATATCAATTTCACGTTAACTTAGTAAATGGAAACAGTACAGAAACTCAACATCCTTGTCAGGAAAATTATTGGTACTATGTTGTCTTGGCACAAAGATATTTGTGTCTGTATAAATTTTACATACGAGAGTATAGATTAACAAAAAAGTTGGACGAAATTACTTTGAAATATTTTTCTTTTAAATGTTACATTTCATATAAAGAAATTGGATTATGAACATTTCAATTATATCATAAAGTATATCGTATTACACTTTGCATGCCAAAATATGATCTACTTCTATGAATAACCTTTTAATATTGTTGTATTACAGAATTTACAACTGAACAATTTGGTTAACACTTTAAATTTTAACTTGTAAATACACAAGACAAACACTTTTCACTTATTCTTGTCTTATATATGTCACCAGAAACAACGTTTCTTTTTAAATATTTTACACCATATATTCTCTTTACTTCAGCTAAAGAATATAATCTGTAAGGTCAACCAGAAGACTGTCCATAATTCCGGAGAATTCTTGTCCAACCATTTAGAATACGGTCTTAAAGTTTGATACTTTAATTTATCAGACTTATTTTTACGTATGTACAGCATTCGTTTGAGGAAAAGATAAGAAGATTTGAAGAAATTTTTTAATTAATTAGAATTTCGAATTTTCTAACTTCAGCTATATCACTTTTACTAAAACCAGTTAACGCGATGCACCCTAATCGTATCAAGGGTAAACCAAATGAACAAAAGCACGATCCACGCTGACAGCATGGCGAACGAAAATAGCAAAAACAATAACAACAGCAACCGTCAGCCAAGAAAGGTACTTTACCTCCACTGGTTCTGGTTTTACTATTTTGTTTCGTTTTCATTGCTCCGTCATTGTCACTTTCTCGTTCACGCGACCAGCGCGGGACTGGTGTATAAATCGTCATGAAATATCGCTGAAGGTTCATCGGACTATATATTTTTCTGAAACGGCTTGCATTGCAACGGAAGACAAACGGCCGGAAATAGTAGGTGATGCATGCGCAAGGAATCCTCTAACACATGTGCGAATTAACCTGACTAATAGAACACTGAGAACTTGGATGCATCCGTGGAGGTATCCGTCATACTACACCACACCACTACCACCACCACCACCACCCCACTACCACACAACCCCCCTATATTTTTTGGTTCACCTCCTCAAATACAGCTGTCCGATTTTCCGTGTCCTCTTCTAACCTTATTGGGCGGGGCGTGGGTACACCGAAACCAGTAAGCAACGCCTATTCGACAGAATTCAACACGGTATTTAGTTCCAACGTAGAAAGTAGTAATTAGATGTGTCCGTTCTTTTCTTTTTAATTTTTTTCTGGGCGTTGATACGCTCCGCTCTCTGACGCACCACATTAGTTTGAATATTGAAAATTAAAAAATAGTCCATTGTAAGGAACTTTCGCGCTGAAATAATTAAAATTGATGAAATTTACTTTGTTGTTTCGATCGAATTTATCGTTTCGTTGAAATCTGTATATAATGTACGAGCAATTTTGAATTTCGACGTTGCAGTGCTCAAGTGTAATCAAGTCAGTAGATCGGGGCACCGTACCAACGGCCAGAAAGAATAGATGAAAAATCGATAGAAAGTGACGTGGGCTCTTTTTACACCTCCCAAAACAGACCCGACGAATCCAGAAATGGGGAGCTCTTTCGTATCATATTCGATCCTGTTGCCACTACTATGTATACATATCGCTCTCTTGTCACTACTTCATTTTCTCCGCCTTATATTCTTCTCTCACACTGTTACTTTCGTCTTGGCCTACCTCTGTCCGCCCTCTCACACGTCCTGTACTCTCCTCTCTGGATTTCCCTTCTCATTGCTACCGTGTACATATCCGCCTCTTTGTAAATTCCATCTGTACACTTTCCCATGTTTGATTCGAGTAGCTTGCCAAATTATCCCCGATCATCTACTGTTCCTTCGGAATCGATTAATTGCTCAAAATTGTTGGAACATACAAGCCTTTCTAACAGCTTGTTCTACTTCTGTGTGTTATATTTATCTCAAGTTGCTCGAAACAAATTCACTTGTTTTTATAAGAAATCTGTATCGTTTATTGGCATAATATTAATACACTTTATAATTTGAGTAAGTTTAGAGAGACCTGTACATGAAACAGATTCAACCAAAAGCTATTCATGCAATAGTAGATTGCAGAAAGGGGACAAAAATTCTTGAGCAGCTAAATGGTTCGGAATTAATCGTAAATATACATATTGATCATACAATTCTTTGTCATTTTTTATTCAAGTTTTCTGTGTCAAAATTAAGCTATCTATTGCATAGAAATATGTATTCACGATTAATACTCATTCCCAATAAAATTCCAAACATTTTTTCTATACACGACACGTTCTTCATTACCTTTCTCTACACTAACGCTATATCGTCGTCATTTTCCAAACTGAAGTACCTGTACATCCAAAACGAAAATCACTTCCGTGAAAAACAAATGCACTCCTTATACACACATACTTATCATTAGAAACACCAAAAGACACAGCACTCAAGTACCAGTTTATCGCCTCATCCAACTGTTCCTGGAGCTGCCCCCAGTTTTGCGCCCCACCCCCAGCCCCTCAGCCCCCTTTGGCCAAATAGATAGAGTGCCATGCCATGCGTGTTCGCTCTTGCTGTAGGTATGTCGCGAGTTTCAACGCGGGGCGTGCAAACGCGGCGAGACGGAGTGCCGGTTTGCGCACCCCCTCGAGACGGTGCAGGCGAACGAGGACGGCTCTGTGACGGTCTGCATGGACGCTGTCAAGGGCCGATGCAATCGGAAACCCTGCCGCTATTTCCACCCCCCTCTGCACCTTCAAGCCCACATTAAGGCCGCACAATCTCGGGCTAGCATTGCGGTAATGCATTCTCTCTCTCTCTCTCTCTCTCTCTCTCTCTCTCTCTCTGCTCTTTCTCTTTTCTGTTAGTCTTTCTTTCTATCATCGCTAACTCTCTTCTCTGTTATTTATTTCTAACTTTCCTTCCCTTCCGTCCGTCTACTTGTTTCTTTTTCTACTTCTCTTCTTTACATCTGACAAACCTTCTCCAAAACGTTCAGTTCAGTCACCATGCCCCGATACGTTCTTATCTTTCGGTTCTACCTTCACCCGTGTTCCTTCTATCTTGCAGTTTCCTTCCTCGTTTCGTCGGAATCACGGAGAGCATACCGATACATCCGAGATTCTTCCCCTTCTTTTCGTTTCACGAAGAGGAAACCTTTTCAGCCTAATATCCGATAAGTCATCTCGTTTCCCGAGCTCCCTTTGAATCTTTGTCCTCTCGATCCACTTCCTTTCCGAACTGCCACGATGACCACGCGACAAAAGCCACGTCCAGTCATTAAAGAAATGAGACCGACAAGATACCAACCGGGCTGGATGATAAAGAATCGGCAGAGGAGACTCTAGTTACGGAAACGTCTCACAGGAATTACAACCAAGTCTCTCTGACGCGGAACGTCGCGTGTTTGTCGCGTCTCCTTCCTCGTTCGATCCGTTAACGAGTCACCTGTGAAAGGAGTTTTTAAAAGAAATTTCCTTTATCAGTGAATTCCTTCGAGTTGATAAATCGATGGATTAATCCTGCAATTTCCCACTTTTCTTCACATTGATTCTCTTCTCACCTCTCTCTTTTTCTCTTTCTAGTTTCATGTGGCGTGTGCTTCATGTGCGGTTGCCTTGTACACGTGTCTATTTTTCTGTTCTTTTGTTTTTTCATTTTATTTGTCTTTCGTCGTCGCCGTCGTCGTCGTCGTCGTCGTCGTCGTCGTCGCTGGAAAAGTGATTATCAGCCAGCGCTGTTGCCTGTTTTGAACTTGAGCTGAGCTTCGCGAAAAATTGCGGTGATAGTAAAAGTCTGGCCGTTACCTGTACATCTAAACGTCTCGTATGCTTTAAGTGGCACGCCTCCAGCGGGGAGGACTGAACTATTGCATGCGGAAGATCAAGATTCTACAAAGAATTTTGCAAAGAATTTGAAACAGATTTTACGCGTTGTAGCCCGTGAACAAAATTCCTTCAGTTCCGTTCTACTATTGGTACTGTTCGCCTAACGATTGAAAGATCGAAAAGACGGAAATTACGTCATTGTTGACGAAATAAAAAACGCGAAGTGCACGCATATCCTACTTGACCGTTCCTTCTTTCTTTTCACTTCAGCCTCTTTTTTCTCTCTCGTTTACCACACATATACATATCTTGTTTTCTTTCTCTCACACTCTCACTCTTTTTCTTTATCTCTCTAACTCTATCCTTATTCTCTGTCTTCGATCTTTCACGTGTACTGTCACCCTCTTTCAGTTTCCTGGGTTTGCGCCAAAAGGAGCTTTCGTTGCTGCGCTGCTTTTCGCCAATCTACGTCGAGTATATACGTTGGGCTTCCCCCTTAAATGCAGTAGTCCCTCTGACATAATCTATACATGGTGTCTCCGAACTGGTAAATCACATCCAGAAAATGGGTGAATCTACATGAAAAAATAAGTCGAAGATTTAAAGTAATATTTTTTCAAACGAAGCTTTTTCATCTCTGAATAAATCAATGTTGAAGATTCGTCGAGTGCTCATGCACTCACACTTCTGTGAACGTTTTTTAGAAGATTTCCTGTTTTCCTGAATAATTTTCTCTTGGAGCCGTTTGAGACACCATTGGTGCCAAGTTTCGGAATTGTGTTGGCCAAGCTATTTTACTATTACAACCGATCCAACAAGGATATTGCTTCTTATTTTTATTTCACTGTTTATCCGCTACTGTCTAATGTAAATGCACGCGTTCCCGACGAGTCTTCAGTCTTCACATTCATTCGGAAATGAAACTTGTTACGTTACATTTTCCACTTATTTTTTCATGTAGACTCGCCCCTTTTCAGGATGTATCGCCAGTTTGGAGGCACCCTGTATATACACTATTACACACGTATCGAGCTCTCTATCCATCTATCTATCTACCTATCTGTTTCTATTGATGTATATACATATTATTACCGCGATACGTGTATATGTATGTATGTATGGCACTGTCGCACGTGGGACAGGTCACCGAACCACAAAGTAAAATTGGCCAATAGTTGCGCAGTGCTCAAATTACGCGATAGCCGTAGCGGGCGTGTTGTCAAGTGCGAATTAACCAGTTTCGCGGATGCTAGGAACACGCGATAAACAGTCTCATTGTCATCGAACACGACACATCAACGCGTTAATTAAACGCGTCAATTCTGTGACCGTAATTCGTCGATCGAGCGGCCTTAGAGAAAAAGGAGAACGAGACGCTAAGCTCGATACGGTTATCGCCTGATGTATCTTATATTAGTTCCTCTCACATTGTACCTCCAGTTGCTCCTGTTCGAATATTTTCATTTCTCTTTTTCAATTGTTCATTCCCCGGCTGACCAGTTCATCTGTTCACGGTGCTATCTCTCCGTACCGCATTTTTATCTTTCGCCCTTTCCTTTTTTTCTTTCATCTATCTTTTTGTTTTTGTTTAGTTGTTTCTCTTTCTCTTTGTATGTCTGTCTTCTTTTCTTGTTCCGTTTCACACTGTCCCGTCGATCGTATAACATCCCTGTTCTCCATCCCTCCCTATCATTGTTTGTCGCTTTTGTGTTCGTCCAGTTTTCTACATTCTCCTTGTATGATGATCAGCCGTTCTCGTAGTGTGTAGTGAGTAGTACACAAGGCAGAATTCTTGTTAATATCACCAAAACACCACTGTTCTATTTCTCTCTTTCTAGCAGCCTATCGCAGCTATCCAGGTGCAAAGAACTAGTTGCAATACACCAATCACCTGTTTCGGTGCCTAGGTCGTAATAAATACAAGATGTTTCTGCAGCCACACGTGACCGCTCCATTTCTATCAACTGTTGTCCCTTATTAATTATCACATATGCGCTTCCAGTCGACCAAAAATTTCAAGCGTCAAACGTCGAAATGGAGCGTGATCACGATCTTGTAAATAAGAAAGTAGTAGTTAAAGTGATATGTCTTTTACGAATGACACGTACACCACTCTGCTGACAAGCTGTGCTGCACGAACCCCGGCTATCAACCCCTGCAAAAAATAATAATAATAAAATTAAAATAAAAGGAAAATGAAAAAGTAAATATATGCATTCATAAATCTCAGATGATGGGTTTGTTGGGAGGTGTGTGGGCCGAGGACAAAAGGGAATGTGTTTTTCTGAAATTTTCCTGTCTTCGTTAACCTTTGCTCGCGTTCTCGCGACAATCTCCGCGGGCCAGTTTCGCGTTCGTGGATTTTCAAATGGAACGAGCACGATTGTTAGCGAAACGTTGCTTGGCTGACTGCTCGAAGTAGTAAACGCCTCGCGATCGTCCCTCGATCGCCATTTCTGACGTTTTGCTTTCGTTTTCTTTTTTCAATTTTTACTTTGCTCGTGTCTCCGCGAGGATAAACATGATTTCGCGATCGAAACTGTTTCTACTTCGTTCTTACGTGGAAATTCCAAAATAAATTTAAGAATTTGTAAAGAATTCATTTGTGAGATTGACCAGGTCGAGGGACGATCGACGAACGGAGGATGGCCACGACGATAGGTTCGAAACGCGAAGAAAAGATTATCGTTTGAGACAAAACAGGCAAGCTAAAGGCAGCCGAATGGGAAAGCTTATATATGTATTTCTCGAACGATGGAAAAAAAAAGAGATATTCTATGCTTCAAACGTTCATGAACTTGTCTTCGGGGGATCAAAATTGCCCATTGTCCGGGGGATAGAGAACGAACGCGAAAAAAAGGAGCGAACGAGAAACAAAAGTAAGAAAAAAACTGGTAGAAACAAAAGAGAAAAGAATAAAAGGAAAAGGACGAAGGAAAGAACGATAAAAAAAAAAAAAAAGATATGAGAGAATGCGAGAAAGACATTTTCAGCAACTTCACGCAGAAGACCTGCAGCCACACCCGGACACAATGGAAGAAAAATCTCACACGGATGATTGCGGCAGACCAGCTTGTTGGCAGGGAAGTCTCATTCTCTAAAAGTGGTTTTCAATTTCCCAAGGGTGCATACCGCGTACCGACGGGACAACCTACGTCCGAAATTTTCCTCGAGCCTATGCATCAATGCGCGCCATTTTGATGACGGGAACTTCACCCGAGATTACAAATTTTCACCCTGAGAATTCTTTTTCTTGAAATATCCTCCGTGATCTCGCGTCAAAAGTTATTCTTGCCACCAGTGAATTCTATTCATGTTAATTTTCGTTTGTTTTTCTCAAGCTGGAAGCTCATCTGCTTGCGTATAGATTCGACCGAAATCTATACAAACGCTTTTTTAGTGGTTGCTTCTTCAATTAAATCCACGATAGAAAACTCAATTTGTGTATAGAATAAAAAAAAAAAAAGCAACCGCGGTCAGAGAGACGAATTTGTCAAATAAACCGATTTAATCACGCCATCCTTTGATCTAACCGTTCATTCATTCTATCCCTCTGCGTCGGGCCAATGTTCCATTCGATCGATTAACCTCGACTTCGCCGCGGTGTATCATCGACAACGCGATCGAGGATCACAAGCCAGCCACCGTCTAATCGAATTAATGCAACGAAATGCACTCTTCGAAATTGCTATGCCATGATGTCTGAATGTTTTTCAAATTACACGAACACAAACCATGTTCCCTTAATATACCACCTACAGAAAAAAAGAGTACGGATCGGTTGCGGGGCTACGGCTAGAAACACGATGGACCAGCCAATAGTAAGAGATGTTTCTGTGTTCATACTACAGTCTTGATTCGTACAAGATATCATACACAATCTATGCGAGCACACCTGACACGCACGTATACGTACACTCACCTGACACACGCTCGATACATTTTGTAAAATCGACGCTATCCACCACAGG